CGAGACGGAAAAAGTGAAACCGCGTTCTCGAATCATTAGTCCAGGAGCCTGGGAGGAATGGAGAATATGAATACCGGATCATCGCAACTAATGTCTTTTTCCCGATTATCCATTACGGTAAAACAACAGCTAGTAATATTTCAAAATTACTACTCCTATAATAATTTTCAAATAAATATTTTTCTATGTGTAATTCGTATACTTTATTGTCAAAATTCCCAATCACTAAAGTATCTAGATAAGTGAATAACAGCTCTGAATACGGTTCTAGGTTTTACCAGATCTACACGTCCTTCATTATTGCCAACGTTACTAATACAAAGATGTCACTTGCTGAACAACTGTTCACCTTTGTAGACGTCAAAACGTAATGGATATTCTTAAAACAGGGTTTAGATCACCTTTGCGAAGGCAAAAATACATTGGACTGCATTTGTCATTTTTCATGCAAAATTTTAAATATCTCAAAAACAATTAGGATGGCATATATATATATACATATATTTATAGAATGTATGTAAAATCTCGCTTAGAATCCAAAAATTGATGAATATACAGGGTGTTTCGTTTAAAATAGGCAAGTTGATATCTACTTCCGGTACATCCGGAAGTGACCGAATCTCACCTACCAGTAGTACTATGTATCCAAGTTTTAATAGTTGTCTTGCGGCAACTTTTTGAATAATTGATCGATGCATTTCTACGTGGGACACCCTGCAAAGCAAACTACTTTCATACAGAAATAACCTATAAGGACGAATAGTCCTGATAAGAGATTATTGAATGACATAAGCTCGACCTGAATTACTGCTTCGCAGACCTTTTTCTGAGAAGCTTTGACACAGGATATTTTTGCTGTAAGTTTTTACTACCAGCTCTTAGGCTAACAGAAAAAGTAAAACGAGTGTAGCTATAAAATCTTTATAGTCCGACTTTTATGGGTTCAATAAGTATTAAGTACATTGACGCAGATGTTTTTCAGTCATAAGTGAGACTACAACCATCTAGTTGGATTTTATTGCGCTTTGTATTTCACAGTGTCTTCGTCAAAGACGTTATCTTAAAAAAAGTGCCTTTGACGTCTTCCTTTCCTACTCGTTACTACAAAAATCGTTGAATTGTATTCACTTTTGATGCGCATTTAGATTTGAATTCGTCATTATTTTATTATATTATACTAGGTTTCTACCCCGCATTCTTACCCGCGCTACGTGTAGGTGGCGCCACTAAAAAGGTAACGAAATTTCCCAAGCATGCAAGTTGGCTGTCATGCGCTTTATCTTGCCGACACCTGAATAATCAAGATAAGCCTTTTTGTTTCGGTATATTGATTAAATTTATTTTATTAGAATTTCTTATTGTAGAACAGAATTCAGTGACTGTACATGCTGTAGACTGGTGTTCAAAAATGAAATGATGAGCAAAAATAAGTAAGAATACATACTAAGAACAATCTTTGGAGGTACAATATAGAAGTACTTGCATATCAATAAATAAACTATACAAAAGTACGAGAATTTTAAAAATACATTATGTCACTGGAAATAAGTTTTCGTCGACATTTACTGAAGACACGTTGCTATGCGAAAAAAACAAAATCTGGAAGCTATCAGCCTTTAGGAGGGGGGAGTCACGTAATTAATCTCTCACCAATAATACTTCCCAACCTAGGTATGTAATATACTATTTTAGATAAATATCCGAATCCTTTTGACACACTTCATCCTCTTTACTCTATCCATTTCTTACTTTGTTTTTCCGTTCCATCTCATTGGTATGTCTAATACTTCACACAACATAGTCACATTCAATTTTTATTTCATAAATGATCAGGATGTTGTTAAGCGTCAAAAAAACGAAATTTGAGCGATTTTTATTCTTTTTCGTTTTTGGCCTTTTTTCTGACTCCACTGGATCGATTTTCAGGAATAGTAGTAACAAGTTATAGATCGACTGAGATGAGTGACGTGTTTCGTAATGTACATGTCATATAACATCTATAAAGCATTATGTCTCATTCCGTTAACTAAACTACAATGATTTCTAATAAGTAGCAGTAAAATTTTAAGTGCGAAAACAAATGAATCTGTTATGTGAAGATCAAGTTCAACGGACCTTTTATTGGAATATAACGCTTGACGAGTGCTACCATGTGCTAAGCTGACTACAGCTGATATGTTAGTCTTTAGCGTTATTTTCGCCTAATTATTTCCGTCTAGTGTCTACACCGACTTATTAGAAGCCCCGATGATACACTACAGATGAGTCATCTCGTGCTCTTGAAATCTATTTTTTCTTGACTAGTAAGACGCATGACACATAAGACTTGCACTTGCGTTTGGCCTCACTGGGATTGCTTGCTTCTGACGTCATGAGTTTTAAGTATCAGATTAGGGAAAGAACCATTACTCTTTCAGAACAGAAAACCGAAAAGGCCGGAGTTTATGGAGCTTTCGGGATATTAAGGTCAAATTCAGATATGGCATTGATTATCGTTTTCCACCTGAATATACCCAATGTAATGCTATATTCCCGCGTCCAAAACATTTTCCGAAATAAAATGATATACCGTATCGTCATCTATGAAAATTTGTCACAGCTATTTAATATATATATTTTGAAACGGTTAGTGTCTCATAGACGACGCTGTAGTCACCTGTATATACTTATACCGTTGTTGTATTTGTTGGGGGTTATATACTCATATACACAGCGCTCGCTATACATGAAACATTAACCTTTTTAAAGTATATACAGTAAATAGAGAAACATCCGTTGCAAATAATTCTTTTAGATGACAGTACTGTATATGGTTTTATCTCGGATATTATTTTGGATGCGCGAATATAGCATTAGGTAGAATACTTTGATCAATGGTTTTGGTTAATCTATCAACTAAAACTTATCCTGTGGTTTTCATGCTGATAATTTCTCTTATGTTTTCTGGTCATTAAATGAAACCACTTATGTAGGATTGAGGTTTTACTAACATTTAGGCCACCTGGGAAGCTTTTTTCAGTTGCACCTGAACCCTGGCGAAAGTGAAAATATTTCGCTGTCATGATTAGTCAGATCCAAGGAGAACTGTCAGATTGAAATTAAAATTCTTCACCTAAAATCGTTAACATGTCGGCTTTACTTTCCACGCGTACTGGCGAGGAAGTATTGTAACCGCGAAATATTTGATGTTTCCACTTGAGGTTACTACTATGCTAAGGACGAAAACACTTGGTGGTTTTTGAAAATAGGTTCAGTGGCGGTGAAGAAAAATGCCCAAAACGAAAAAAAATAATCATCGATCAAACTCCGTTTTTTTAAGTTTCAGAAGCTCCTGTTTTTTTTTAAAGTAGAGGTAAAAGCTAGTGGTTGGGGGTTTTAAGAGGTGGGGAAAGTATATCTTTCTTTTATTTACATATGTATAGGCTTCCTACCTCGGTAATTCTAAGCACCTATTAGGCATATTTCACACATCATAGATTTCCCCGTACATTTGTCCTTGAAACTTAGAACTATGTCAGGATTGTGGCTTTGGAGTTAGTTTCTCGGCGCAGAGCAGTCCCGTTGGCGCTGCAAAGGCCAGTGAAAAGAACATTTAGTCGTAAGTACTCACAAAAAAACTCTATTAATATAAACATATAAGCAGGTGCTTAAACTTGTTGCACTGTAGACCTCACCAACAGAATTGCAAGAGTTGACCCCCCGAGGGGAACTACCCAGAGAGAAAATGCCCTCACATGTCAGCCCAACTTTTAAAATCAGCATATGCATTGCTGATTATGAACACTCATCAGGCGGATGTGATTTATTATATCTGTTCATGAGCTAGCAGCTGGCGCGTGTAAAGGCTTATTGCACGTATCAAGCACAATTACTCCAGTCTGACATCCGCTAGATGCTGCTACCAGCGTGCACCCAGCAAATAGCTGGACTTAAATTGATTTAACTTAATTTTAAGTTGAAGCAGCAGATTCAAAAGTAGACTTAGATACTTGACGTGATTTTTGGTAGTCATGTTACTTTCACCAAACCTTGCAAGATTAGTAAAACAAAACGAAATTCCTCGCCTGAAAGAACAATAGGCATCAATTTCTTTTCGAAGCAGGTACATACACATGTTATTGTAACACTGTAATCTTGATCTCCAATTTGGTTCAACATTAATATTAATAACTGCTTCGCTTCAAAAGTAAAACAATAGCTAGAAACTAATAATACCTCGATTTTTCCATAACTTGTATATGAAGTTCATTAACACAGATGCGTTGATTATACCATGGGAATCTACTATCTCCGACCTGAATTTTTTTAATTCACACATCATGAAAATTATAAAAGAAGAAAGTTCTAAGAGATTTGATGTTTATGCATGGTGGAAACATTGATGGTTATCATTACAGACACCGAGAGCCATCTTGCAAATTGTAATATCACTTATTTATATAACATTTTATCTTCTTGGATCTGACATGAGAGCACTCATTTTACTTTCATCGTTTGAATGAGGAATTATCATAATCGTAAATATTTTCACACGTAATATGGTTCTTATGAGAATAGGCATGAGTGCAATGGGATTATTTTCCCAAAAAAAAAATATATCCAACAGAATTTCAATATTTTGGCTCTATCTTGTGATGAAGTAGAAACGGGCATTATTTTTACGGCAACATTGTAAGAAGAAATGGCGTCAAGTCGGACACACTGCACTTCCTACAGAACGCTGTCATCATTTTTGTTTCTGAAAATGGTCAGGATCCTCTGAAACATCAAAAAAGAAAAGTTTTGCAATTTTTATTTTTTTATCCCTTCTCTGTACCGCCACTTGACCGTTTTTCAAAAACTTCAAAGCTTTTTCGTCCTTGGCAGAGTAGTAATCTTGTGCAAAAGTTTCCTCAACATCAAAAAAGATTTATCAAATTTTCGAAATTTTTCTACAATAATTCTCTCGCCAATGGCATAGTAGTAAAGTAAAGAAGTAAAATCCTTTTGCTATGTTTACACCTGAATTGAGGATGTCTTTTAAATACATGGCCAAGAGTCAATTAGAGTTTGAAGAGAAGAAAAGTAACGCTGACGTGACATTATAGTTAATCACTGACATTGTCAGTTTACATTTTAAAGTCAGTTTACATTAAAAAAACACACAAAAACCAAGCATGGCTGCAGAAGAAATTGATGCGCTAGAAGTACATTTTGGAGAAGGTGGAATACCAGGTTTGACCCCCAAATACGCCCCAACACCGCATTTTGATATAGTTATTAAGGAGAAAAAACTTACTTTTGAAGAAGCTTCTCGGTACGTGTCTATATTCATCAACAGTTTTTTTCCGTAAAACCGTCTTTTTATGTAGAACCTTAATCCCGATCGTATTTTTAGGTGTCTCAACACCTTGGGGAAGGATGAGAGTGGAGTAAGATACGCTTATCTCATGTTATCAGCCACAGAAAGAAAACTAACCGATATATCAACTGTTGCAAACTTCAAACATCTACTCTTCATAGATGTTAGTGGTAACTACCTAAACACAGAAGCCATGTATGTGCTCACTCAGGTTCCTTTCCTTTTATATCTCAGAGCTGAACGAAATGTTCTTGAATCTGCTGGATTCAGAATTGCGCCTTACCTTCAAGTCCTTATTCTGAATATGAACCAAATCACCGAGACCTGTGATATCAACCAACCTATGTTGGAGCTGTTAGAACTTGGAGAGAACCTGATATATACTGCCCAATTTGACCCAGAAGGACTACCGAATCTAAAAGAGTTGAGTTTGCACAACAATCATTTGATAGATACGTCTGGAGTGTTTCCCACAAGTTTAGAGAAACTCTATCTGAATAAAAATAAAATAATGAAGATCAATTCGAATTTCCCCAAGCTTCCCAATCTTACAGTACTAAATTTGAGAGACAACGGTATCAGAAAACTTGGAGGCCTTTCTGAAAACCTACCGAATCTTGTATATTTGAACGTTAGATGTAATAAGATAACCAAAGTCAGACAATTCAGGAAAATTTCTCCGCTGTCGAAGCTTGAAACTCTTATATTGTTAGAAAACCCGTTATATGAAGGGAAGAAAGCTCAGCCGCAAGACGAAGAAGATGAAGATCAGGAGACTACCATTACAAGTACTGAACCTGATACTGAGAATACTGCCGACTTTGAAGGAAGTGATGTGGACACTACCGTGAAGAGTGATCCTTTCAAAATTCACCTGTTGGTATTGCTTCCAAGTTTGAAAAGGATAAATAAAGAATTTGTGACATTGAATGAAAGAGATATGGCAGAGAAGAATAGTAGAAAGTTACTAGCGGAGATATTTGAGGAACAAAGTAGTGAAGACGAAAGTGAGGTACCAACTACTTCGGAATATACTACAGACTACACAACCGAGACTGAGGTAGATGAAAAGAGTTATGGGGATGTGGAAGCTAATGATGAAGTAGAAGAGAAAACATTGAAGACAACCGAAGAAGAAGGAAAAAAAGAAGCGACTACAGGTCAAAATGAAGTAGATAAACTTAATATATAAGAATCATTTATTTATCTTAGTGTTGTTCTTATTACTGCATATGAAAATATATCTAGCTTATTGGAGACCGGCAGTATCGCTGACAGCATCCTAGCTCATATCACAACATTGATACTGGGCATTCCCCAGGGATCGATTTTGACTATGCAGGCAATGCTATGTGAATAGGGTGTTTCAGAACTAAGGGATCAAACGTCTAGGGGTTATTCAGTGTGATAGTAGAAAACATTTGAGTGTAGGGAGCCGTATCCGGAAAAGTGTCACTACGGCACTACGGCCCTAAGACGCGTCAAAATTTAGAAAGACGATTAATTGCCTAAATAGGATTTAATGCATTTAATTTTTGCCTTCTGTACATGATATCATCACAACAATTGCTCAAAATGTCTTCCTCCAACCTGAATGCACCGATTTAAACGTCGCACATGATTTCGGCAGACTTGACTAAAAATTTTATACTCGTTTTGAATGATTTCAAATGCGGCTATAATTCGTCCAATTAAGTCTTGCTCTATTTCTACTGGAGTTTCGTAAACCAAAGACTTTACATGTCCCCACAGGAAAAAATCTAGTGACGTTAAATCGGGTGACCTAGGAGGCAATCCAACGGTGCCCAAACCGCTGAACCAAATACTCACGTACTTGTACAGCAAAGTGAGTCGGCGCTCCATCAGCTAAAACCACATTTGCTGCCGAACGTTCAATGGAACATTTTCAAGAAGTTCTGGAAGAACTTCCTCCAAGAAACGCCGGTAAATAGGTCCTGTTAAGCATTCCGGTAGAAGGTATGGCACACTCAAATAATCATCAATAATGCCTGCCAATACGTGGACAGACCAACGTTGCTGTTTTCTAGGAAAAATTGCATGGGGATTTTCTTTGTCCCAAACGTGACTATTCCTACTATTGAAAATACTGTCTCTTGTGAAAGAGGCTTCATCGGTCCATAAAACATAGCGTAAAAAATTTGATTATGCAGCGATTTGATGATGAAGCCATTGACAAAATTGAAATCTAGGATGATAATCGGCTGCAGTCAATCCTTGAACTTCCTGGAAGTGGTAAGGATAAAGTCGTTGCTCGTGTAGCACCCGCCAGACGGAAGCGTTACTCGTATTCATATCCTCAGCAATGTGACGTGTGCTACTTGATTGGTTCGTCGGCAACACGCTGAAGGACCTCTTCTTCAAATTCGACCGTTCTTACGGTTGGAGCAACACCAGTATCATGCATGTTGGTTTTAAATGTGCCTGTCTCGGAGAGCCGCCGATGAATAGCAATAAACTTTTTGTATCCCGGATGCTGTCGTTCGGGATAACGTTCTTGATACAATCGCGCTGCTGCTCGTGCATTGCAGCTTGTTGCTCCGTATGCCAAATGCATATCCACCAATTCTTGATTGGTAAAGTTCTCCACTAGCAACAATTAATTTTTGTTAAATTCTTGCAAACTTCACAAATACGATAGCACGTCTAAGACGATATGGAATGCAACTACAAAACAATCTCTGCTATCGTTTTTAAAGATAACAACACACAAGCACCGGATCTGGGTCCCTATACTAAAATGTTTTCTACTGTTGCACTGAATACAAGTTTGATCCCATAGTTCTGAAACACCCTGTATAAGAGTTGATAAATAAAATAAAGCCATGCATTTTTAAAGACGATTTTATTTAGCTGTTAATAAAGTGAACTAAAAATTTAAAATATTTCCTTATTAAAAATATTTACACCCCTCTCCCACCCTGCTGTAAAACCGTAATACGCTTTTATATATTTAAAGACTTGAGATGAACCATCATTAATCTTTAAATATCTACTGTCGGAAAAATATTAAATTTAATATTTTGATAGATATAAATCATGTAATGATAACTCGATATTTTGCAACGACCACCATATGGAATTTAGGATGATGTTACTTTGCTTATGTTTCCTTCATCAAGCCCTTTCATTGATACACATAGTATAGGGGTTATGGTAATTATAAACGCCATCATGAGTAATCGCCATATTGGATTTATAATGACGTCTCTTTGCTTATTGCGTTTCCGTCAACAAGCCCTTACATTTGATCTATTCGTCATTGTCTGTCAGAGCGGTCCGTAGAACCTTTGCTCTTGGTTGAAATCTTGTAAGTCAGTAGGTCCGTCAGGTCTGGTTGCCCAGATACCAAACAAAGTCAGGGAGAAAGAAGGGAAGAAGGAAGGAAGGAAGGAAGAAGGGACCCTTTCATTTGATACCCTTATCATAGGGGTGTCTATGAAAAATGTAAATCGCCAGTTTTCGGCGGCGACCATATTGGATTGCACATGGCGTCACTTTGCTTATTATGTTTCTCTCATAAAGCCCTTTCACTTTATACCCAATCCATAAGGGTTACTATGATGATGAATCGACATTTTGTGGCATCCACCATATTGGATTCAAAATGACGGCATTTAATTAATTGCCATGCTAAGTAAACGTGTACATAGATTCCGCTTAATTGATTAAGGTTAACTAGTTCAAAATTCAGTTCCAAGAGTCATCCCACACATATATACTAACATGCAAGACTAAAGAGTATAAAGGAAAAAAATGGAACATCAAATTTCGCGTAACATACTTAAACAATCTACAGCCGATATTGAAACAAGGGATCCACACGTTTTGGGCATACCATAAAACGCCATAAAAATATAGAACTCAAAATACTTTGGAAATGTTTGCCATTGCTCATTGACTTAGGATTTTCTTCTGTTTGGTCATACAAAAATGTTGATTGGATATTCTCCGATAATTACACCAAGACCACAACTGTTCAATAAAAAGAACATATAGATTCCCTATTGAATTACATGCATATATCTTATAATCCTGTACGTTTGTCTGGCCGCAAATGAAACCTCGTAATCTTGAAATACTTTCTACTGACGACGAAATGCATATCTTAATCTGTTAGTTACGTGGTGTTAAAACTAAAGCTGCGATATCTCACATTCCAAACATGTTGGAATAACAATACTCGCCTTTACATCATTTGCAGAGTATCGAAATATCAGCACCCCACTTCCTGCTTGTTTTGCGACACGTGAAACACTTCTGGCAGTGTTCTGCGGTCAACTACCTGCAGGTGACCTTCATTATCTGAATGCTTACCTTCCTCCTCACTACCTGTTACATCACAGACACCATAGTCAAACTGCATGTAGGATTTTGGAAACAACGATGTCAATTTCACACACCTAGCCAAAAACAATTTAAACGACGTGACTCTACTCTTCTATAGTTCATATTATTTCGCCACTACATAGATGCTTTTTGAGCCACCTTAGGCGCTAAAGCAACGTTACAATTCGCTCATTTTTGTCCATACTAATAACATACATACTAACAAACAGGTCAAGTTAAGTAAGAGCTCGTAAGAAATTAATCTTAATAATCTAATAGGTAACAGGAAATATATTCATCAGACCAGACCATACTGCACATACATAATTTGAAGATGTCCTAGATTATGCGTCCTTGATATGATGTAATTGTTGAATGTAAACATAAAGCTGCAACGGATGTTGTTATGCATTTTTGTACTTGGTAAGCGTATAGAGAATAGCTAGGTGTTGCATCCCATACCCCATTGTATCAAAGAAAAAAATAGAATTCATGCACCGGAACTGAAGTGAAAGTGAAGATTTGTTGGAGACGATCGTCGGTTTCTATTTTTTCAATTTGTATGGAATGCACGATATTTGGGTTTCGCTGTATATCGCTTGTGCGCCATGTTCAATTACTTGAATGTTATGTAAAGTGATTTAAAGGTTTTGCATACTCATAACATTTGATACGGTATTATGAAAAGTTATAATAAATAATGTATTTTTCAACTAGTATAGCTCAGAATAGATCAAGTCAACCAGGTGTTTAACTGCAAGATTTGGGGTTGGATCAAAGAGATGACTAATTGATGAGGGTCCGGGCCCTCTCCGGAAATATCCGACTTAAAAAAAGGGAACGTCTTTTTCCATTTACAGATGACCCCACCCCCACCCCATCCCGCTTCCGCTCTTCAAGTTCCAATTGCCGGCTACCCCCCCTTCCTCGGTCTTCCATGTTGAATCGCCGATTCGCCCTCCCCCCGAGATAATCATTTTCCTAGATATATAAATCCTGAGCCCCATCCCCCAAAAAATTAATAAATTTCGAATTCATCAGAAGAACCCTCTCCCAGAATATTTTCTAGATCCCCCTCCGGCTTTATAGGTTTCTGTAACGGAAGCCGTCTGACTGTAATCTCTGAAGCCACCGCAGCCTTTTAGGTGTATTGATATTAAATCGCAAATAACTCAACCTTAGAAAAAGGTTACAGAAAGGACCTTTTTCGTTCAGTGATATCCAAAAACCCTAAAAAAATGTCTTCCCTTGATTCATAGTAAGGAGCATACAGAAACGTGATTACACCCTATTTACTTCCCACTCTTACTGGCGGGGAAGAATTGTAATCACGAATATTTTCGAAAATGGGTTATTATGTTTTTTGGATGTTTTATGATATGATATCTACATCACCAAAAACCATGTCACTCATTTCTGTCCGTCTATCTGTCTGACTGTATGTCAGTCTGTCCGCTAATCTTCCTATAACTTTAGAAGTAGCACTCGGATTTCGATGAAATTTTTACACAATGTTACTACTATGAAAAGAACGCAGTAGCTTTGTAGTTTTCGAGAATCGGTCTAGTGGCGGCGGATAAAAAGGTCAAAAACAAAATAAAGCCTCTCAAACATCGATTTTTGACGTTTCCAATAATCCTGGCAATTTTCGGAAAAATTTTTTAGGGATTAATAGTTGGGGTTAGTGGTTGCAGGGGACGGGGTAAGGTATATCTCAATTTTTTGATGTTGGTATATTTATGCGCCTCTAGACCCAGTAATTCTACGCTCATATTAGCCGTATTTCACTCATTTTCCCGTACATTTACACTTAAAACTTTATCTCCTACAGTCGGGTGTCATTGCGTACGACGTGGTCTCCCGATGAACAAGCGTCGTCGGTGGTCATACGTCGCAGTCGGCAATCGTTTCAGCACTGCTGTGGGCTCATGGGCCGTATGTGCTGGGCAGACCAATATCGTCATTCACGCGGGATTTATCCTCGCAACGATCATGTGCGCCTGCAGCAATTCCTCTCAGAGGGACAAGGAACTTCATTTATTTTTTTTTATTACACATGTATGTAGCTACCATTTTTCTCAGAAGGGCTAACTTATGCCAAATATAATCCTTCACGAACTGGCGGCAGCCGCCGTCATATTGGATCTAGAATGA